AAAAACGTTAAATCGTGTCTATTATTTAATAGATTATTATTATTTAGAAGTTTAATAATGTGTAATTTTTCATGGAGGCATATATATATATACCTCAGAATGTCTTTATCCATCATCAATTTTACCTTGCACATATCTAAGTATGTATCTATCCCTGTTTATATCTTTCTATCTATCAATTCCAACTTGTTCACCTATCTATCTCAGTCGGTATCTGTTTATCTATCTATTTACCTACCTTAGTGTGTATCTATCTATCTATCTCTCAATTTTAGCTTGTTTATATTTACGCGTGTATCTATCCCTGTTTATATCTATCTATCTATGTATCTATCTACCTACCTGAATATGTCTTTATCTATCTCTCAATTTCAGCTTGCTCATATCTACGCATGTATCTATGTCTGCTTATATCTATCTATCTATCTATCTATCTATCTATCTATCTATCTATCTATCTATCTATCTATCCCAGTGAACTTATTACGAGTCTTCCGGAGTAACCCTCCTATGAACGGGCCCCTTGGCATTGTTACAACGATCTTTATGACTGGCTGAAAAGAAGCCAAACAGAAAGTCCTTTACTGAAGCTGCTTCGTCCCGATTTGCACTTCCCTTTTGAAACTTTTTCCTCTTTTCCACGTTGGCTTTCAACGAGTAGCACGTATAAAAAAAAAACGTTTCTCAGAAAAAAAAAAAAGAGCTTCACCAACAGATCCATGGAATCCGTGATTGTAGCGCCTACTTCATGTGAAGAAATATCATCTCAATGTTCAGGGAGACCGGATTCCGAGACATCGCTGCCACCACCGCAAGCACATGAAATCACAAGATCTCAAAGAACAGTTAACAGGACGTTTCTTTTTTGTGACAAGATAAGTCCGCAATATATATATATATATTGCAACACCATTATTGTAAACCTTCCTTTCTCTTTTACTCGTTCTTCTCTTATACTCATAAAAGTTTTGAATCTCAAGTATCTTTTTTTTTCTACAGCGGTAATTACTTTTCTTTTCGACCAAACTTACAATCTGTCTTAGTCTGTTTTATCTGCCAGTTACAAATTGAGAGAATTGCCAACATCAGTAGTACGTGTGTACCAATAACGTAGACACAGTGTCAAACATGACATTTGTAAATAAAATTAAAGTACAGATCATTTTTCATGAGGTCAACGATCGATTTAACACTGTATTTATTTATATTATGAACAGGGACCCTCTTCTCAAAATAATAAAAAATGATATTTTATGATTCTGACAATTGCTTTGGCTTTATAAAAGGCTGTTGAGTATCAATCTATAAAAGTTGTTCGACTAAAAGTTTTTTCCGATTTTTTTTGTTGTTTACTAGAGGATTATTCATATTTAGGGGTGTCAAAATAATCAATACCATTGTGTGAAAGAAAAGTTGCTTTTTGTTTGTTTGTTTGTTTGTTTGTTTTTAGTTAAGTGGGGGTGACGAATGACAACGTGTAAAAAAATGTTTTCGTCTGATGCGTTTCATCCCTTAGGACATCATCAGACTAAATGCATATATATATATATATATATATATATATATATATATATATATATATATTATAATATTTTTGTTTAAAAAGTATAGATCTTTCGCTACATAAGAGTTCTCATGTTTCAAAAACGAGACCCGAAACCATCCAAATAATTATTAAAATTAAGTTGAATTAAGATATTTAGTCCCGTTTCATCTTCAAGCGAACATTTAGGAATAAGGTACATCTTGGTTCTTGCTTATTCCTAAATTTTCCTAAATAATCATATTTTTAAACAAAAAATATTATAATATAAGCTCTACTTCTGTATAGAGCACTGTCTTCTTAAAATAAAAACAAAATACTAAGAACTCCGGATTATGCACCCAATGTGTTCTTTTCTATTTTCTGCTGACCTGCGCACTTATATATATATATATATATATATATATATATATATATATATATATATATAATTTATATATACATATATATATATATATATATATATATATATATATATATATATATATATATATATATATATATATATATTATGCATATATTTCTATCTATAAAAGGCAGGATGTGTGTGTGTGTGTGTGTGTGTGTAACGAATGCACGGCTGCAATTTTCGACGGATTTGCACCAAAATTTACATGCACATGCTCCAAATTAGAGGAAAGGACAAGACCGACTTTGCATTTCCTAACTCCCATCGATAGTTGAAATAATCAATTTTTTCATGCTTCTACGGCAGTTTTCATGTAGTTGGCGGCCATTTTCTACTGGCCAGAGTGAGAGCTGCTACGAATAGGCAGGTAGATTCTATTGGCTAGCGTGAGAGCCAACAGCTGACTGACATGAATGTTAACTAGCATGCTAGCATGCAAAAAAAAATCGATAGCTGCATTCGTCACAAGTGGAAAAAAATTTAAATCTGCATGTATATATATATATTATGCGTATATATATAGATGTTATATATATACACATACACATACACACACACACACACATTTATATATATATATATATATATATATATATCGAAAGATAGATAATATGAGTGGTCAATATATATATATATATATATATATATATTATTTTGAACAATAAGAAATTAAAAAATTAAAAAATTAAAAAATTAAAATCATTAGACACACTGGGTTGTAGATTAATATTCTTTCGTTTTTTTATTATTATTATTCCATTTAGATTCCTCGACTAGTTTCGACCGAAATGGCCATCATCGGGAGGAGAAATTAAATATTTCTGCTTGCTGTTAGCAATGAACTACAGAAATGAATGTATATATATATATCCAAGTGGATAGAAACCAGGTAGAGATCAATGTCCAAGACAGCGCAAGAATATAATATAAAATCAAAAAGAAATCGTTATATATATATGTATATATATATATTTAAGCATTACTCCCCGAGCAAGTCGTGAAGCCACTAGGATGCAGGGGGTTTTCAGAAGATTTGGAGCAAGAGCAGATAGGAGTGATAGAAGAAAGGATGAAGAGAAGGATAGTGGATGGATCAAGGTAACTGGAGATGTCGATTGACATTACATTTGAATAGTTGGAGATTATAGCTCTCAGAGAAACAGTAATTGGGAAGGGTGTTCCACGGGCGAGAGGTGCGAGGTATGAGGCTATTGGAGTAGAAGAGACGGCTACATTTAAAAGTTTCTACAGTGTAAGGGTGGGAGCGGGATGCCAGCCTCGTAGGGTGCTTGAATTCATGGAGTCTGGGAACCAGTGAAAGCAGCTCATCGGACCAATTACCATGAAAGTATTTGTAGAAAAGACAGAGAGAGGCGACAGCGCGTCTGTGAGAAAGTGACTGTAGACGAGACGCCAGATTAGTGCCAATTATATTATATATTCGTCTCTGGATCTTGTCAAGAACTCCGAGTTAAACAGACCATATATGTCAGCAATACTCCATGCAAGGGCGAATGGTTGACTTGAAGTATCGATTCCGGGGAGAAAAATTTCCTGACGCGGCACAGATAGCCAACTTTCCTCGCGGTGGACGAAGCAATTGACTCAATGTATTTGTTCCATCTCATGTCTGCAGCCAATGTGAGACCGAGCAGACGCAGGGAGTTGCTCTCAGGAAGTTGACTATCAGACATTTTAATGGGGGGCAGGGAAGGATCTCTATGGTGGTTAATTGAGAGTAATTTAGTTTTTGAGGCGTTAAAGTTGAACAGCCAATTCTTGCCCCAATTAACAACCAATTGGAGGTCCATTTCAAGACACACTAGATTTGTTTTTGAGTCAGGAGTAAATTGTAGTGTCGTCCGCGAAGATGCCAACTTGGGAATCTATGGCGTCAGGAAGGTCGTTGATGAATATAAGGAATAGAGTGGGGCTAAGGATGGAGCCTTGGGGAACACCTGCGTTCGTGGGATAGGAATTTATGTATTTTGCCAAAGATGGTACCGGCAACTCGGAAATCCGCACACGGATTGCCGCAGCCATGGCAACCATGGTCAAATTGACAAGAATAAGGAGAAGCTGTAGAAATCGCTGATGAAAGGAAAGGAAAATTTGTCTTTTTTTTTTTTTGTTGTTGTTGCTTGACCATATTTGTCTGTCAAAGTTTAATTAACACCACATTAATTGGCGTGTCGACAATGGGTTATCATGTAGTTTAGTTTATTCCATTCCATTACTTTTCGATTATTTACCTTACTTTATCTAAGACAAATGTCATCGTTTCGATTCCTGCTAAAAAATCAATATTTCCCCTTTTAGAGATGTAACGCACCTCAATCATTTTATTTGGATTTGACCATGACAAAGGTAAATTCCGTAAATATGTATTAAGTAGCATTTAGTATATTTTTATGCGCCGATATAAAATTACACACGATGTGTTTTATTTGTCTGTCACACTCATATATATATATATATATATATATATATATATATACATACATGAAGAAATATAGTCTTAAGGTGTGCTATATTTATGGGATAAAGCTCTCAATATCAGAGATAGTGCGTATGTAAATATAAAAGTAAACATTGAAGTCAACACTTAGAAGTGATAGTCTGTTTCATGCTAGTCGCAATCGTCAGGCCACGAGTCTAGTGGCCTGACAATTGGGTCTAGCATGAAACAGACTGTCTTGAAGTTTTGACTTCAATGTTCAAATTTTCTAGATAGATAGATAGATAGATAGATCTGTGGATCATTATATATATATATATATATATATATATATATATATATATATATATATATATATATATATATGTATGTATATATATATATATATATATATATATTTATATATATATATATATATATATATATATATATATATATATATATATATATATGCATGTATGTATGTATGAAGGATATTTAGGCAGTAAGAATTAATATAAACATGTTTGTATTTAACAAATGACAAGGTTTGTTTACGTAGGTATATTTTTTAAATCTCAAACACCGCCAGTAGTTTGTGGCCGTCTTCGACGTTGTTGCTATTAAGATGTTTTTTTTTTTATTATTATTATTTCTTATTATGTATATATATATATATATATATTGATAATATTAATGGTCAATATATATATATAAAATATATATATATATATATATATATATATATATATATATATAGATAGATAGATAGATTAGGCTTAACCCAACATATAAGAGAGTTGCCAAACCGGAGAAGGAGTCTCTTATATCCGGGTTTCTTATATCCGGTTTTGGTCTATTTTATATACATTAACACAGCCTCTAATTTGGGACCAGAGAAAATCTCTCTTATATCCGGGTTTCTCTATATCTGGGTCTCTTATATCCGGGTTACACTGTATATATATATATATATATATATATGTGTGTGTGTGTGTGTGTGTGTGTGTGTGTATTTAGTGTATTGGGGCAGCAGATCATTATTTAAACATATGTTGTTAAATATAATAGACAACGAATATCTCTTATGTCCGATCAGGAGCCGTTGTAAACTTCGTGTGGTTGCTTTAATTTCCGGTGAAAATAAAGACAAAAATTATCCAACATTTTCATTTTTATTTTTCATAAAGTCATATGAGACGAAACCTTAGATTAAGGACCAACTTCATAACAAAAAATATCCAAATGTTTGGACAAATTTTTTTTCTTTATTTTTACCCGAAATTAAATCCACAATGCGACACTGTTTCGATTCCAGGTAAAAAATCAATATCCCCCCCCTTAGACATGTAACGTAACTCAATCGTTTTATCTGCATTTGACCTTGTCCCCGATAAAGGCAAATATCTATATTTACTGTGTATGTTAAACAGAATTTGACCACGTACATATTTCTATCCGCCGATATAAAATTAAAGACAATGTGATTCATTTGTCTACCAGCATACAGTTAATTTTTTAGCAGTTAATATGTCGCCTAGAGAGAAATGAGATATTACGCATGCGCCTTGGCGATGCGTAAATTATCTGCCCCTACACGCGGCGATGTCATGACGTACAGAAACATTCGAAGTCAGTTGCATGTTGTGTTCATGGAGAACGGACACGGGGTCACGAAAAGGGAAAACGAATTCTTTAGAGATTTTAACTTTTAATAGGATTTTATCGTGCATTGAATAATAAGTGCGCATCGATTAACGCAATACATTTTTTTTTCTAATCTTGGTTGAATGGAAAAAAAATCAGCATCCTTCTTCATTTTACTCCAGCAGCGTTCACCATGCTACTAATGGCGGACCAAAAAGGGAGAGGGCATCCATTTAGGCGGGAAATTGCACGAAGAAATGCTAGTAAAAATATATACATACAAAAATGGACCAAACTATTTTTAAATTGTATTATTTGAGATTGGTTGATTTCTATCTGTCTATCTCAACGTTTTCATCTATCTATCTATCTATCTATCTATCTATCTATCTCGTTCTATTTGGTACATATCTATCTATCTCAGCCTGTTTCTATCTATCTATCTATCTATCTATCTCAGCCTGTTTCTATCTATCACATTCTATTTAGTACATATCTATCTATCTATCTCAGCCTGTTTCTATCTATCTATCACATTCTATTTAGTACATATCTATCTATCTATCTATCTCAGCCTGTTTCTATCTATCTATCTATCTATCTATCTACCTATCTATCGATCTATCACATTCTATTCGGTACATATCTATCTATCTATGTCTTGATATCTGTATTCAGATATATCTCGCTTCGTTCTTATGTGTCAACATCTATCTTTATTTATTTCTTCTTTTCTTTCTTGATATTTGCTTATGTATCAATTCATCTAAGTCTGTCCATATCTCTCTCTCTCTCTCTATCTATCTATCTATCTATCTATCTCGTTCTATTTCGTACATATCTATCTATCTCAGCCTGTTTCTATCTATCTATCTATCTATCTATCTATCTATCTATCTATTTGGTACATATCTATGTCTTAATATCTTGCCTCGTTCTTATGTGTCTGCATCTATCTTTCTTTATTTCTTTCTTCTTTTCTTTCTTGATATTTGCTTATGCATCAATTCATCTAAGTCTGTCCATATCTATCTATCTATCTATCTATCTATCTATCTATCTATCTCTCTCTCTCTCTCACTCTCTCTCTCTATATATATATATATGTATATATATATATATATATATATATATATATATATATATATATATATATATCATTCTGCTTGGTTCATATTTATCTATCTATCCACCCATCTATATCTATGTATCCATATGTCTCAGCCTGTTCATATCTATCTATCTATCTATCTATCTATCTATCTATCTATCTATCTATCTATCTCAGTTTGTTCATTATCTATCTATCTATGTATCTCAATTTGTTTATATCTATCTATTTCCGTCTGTTCATATCTAGTCGTATTCATCTATCTATCTATCTATCTATCTATCGATTTATCTATCTCAGGTTCTCCCTATCTATCTCCCTATCTATCTCTCTATTTATCGCGAAAGTTTTAAGGAAAGTACAAACAAAAAGGACTTTTACTTAGATCCGCCACACGCTGGATATATTGAAGGCAAAAAAAACACAGAAGAAAGCAGCCAGTAACTTTCCTAACGAATTTGCGCAAATGGATCTCAGAACAGGGATTTAGAAAGATAACAAAAAACACATTTTGCTAAGAGCTACAAAGGACACGAAGTTGTGTAGAGCGATGTTTGCCCACAAGGGTTATGGCACATACTTACGAGTAAGATCTCAGTTGCTTCATAGCTTATCTGCCTATCTCAACCTGTTCATATATTTTTTATTTATTTCAGTCTGTTCTTATCTATTTATCTCCTATCAGTTTGTACATGCATCTTGGCCCACACCTTTCAGATCTGACACACACACACACACACACACACACACACACACACACACACACACACACACATATATATATATATATATATATATATATATATATATATATATATATATATATATATATATAGATATATATAGAAATATAACAAGAAAAATAAACACTAAAATAATTGTTTAAAATCGTATATATATACATACATATATAATTGTATATATACATGCACACACACACACACACACACACACACATATATATATATATATATATATATATATATATATATATATATATATATATATATATATTTTTATAGCGACATTTTACCTTGTTCTGGTGTAGATACCTCCACTGACTGATTAAAAAATAGCATAGCATGATGAAAAAATGTCCAAAACTTTATAGAAACAATGTGTTATCGTCAAAATCTTTATATGGAAAAACCAAAGATTTTTTTTTTATTTATCATCAAATAATTTATTGTTTCTTTTTAATACAATTAGTACAGGAAATTTTAGCATCTTTTTTGAGGTGAAAAACAAGTTGAGTTGGAAATTCTTGCAAAAATTATCTCAATATTGGATTTTAATGGAACCTTCATGACCTCTTCACAAGTGAATTTAATTATCTTTAGAAAATCTTGGTAAAAATATATTTTTTACATCTGGTACTCCCTAATAATTTAACTTTATGAAATTTAGAGGAACTAAATTTTTTCCCGATTACTGTTAATAGCTGATCTCCACTTACCGAAAATCTGGTCTGAATCGTAAAATAAAAAGCTAAAAAAATAAAACTAAGATAGTATTTAATTTGAAAAAAAAAATTGATTGCTTTTATGAATAAGATTTTTTTATGGTCACTTTGGTTTGGTTCGGTTTGTTTTACGGCATATGAACCTCAATGGGTTATTTAATGCCGACAAAATTTTTATTGCTGGTAATATATTTTTCCAAAAATGTATTGCTGATAATATTGTATGGTTTGGTTTGGTTTGCTTTGATTTACGGCATGTCACCCACAATGGGTTATTTAATGCTGACAAGATTTTTTCTGGTAATATTTTTTTCTTTCAAAAAATATATTGTTGATAATATTGTTTGGTTTTGTGACACTATTTAGCTATGCTAATTGGCTAACTAATTAAGCGTGGAAATTAAAAGCGAGAAATACTTAAGGCGAGAAGAAACTATCACGAAAGACATACTGAACGATGTTATTTTTTTTAACAAAAGAAAAGTGGGTAAAGATTTTATTTTCATTTGCGAAGAAAAGTATTTTTTTCGCAGACGATAGAAATTTCGTAAGATCTCGGATCTCAGAATTAATTGAGTCAAGCATGCGACCGAGAAAGAATTAGCTGAGACCACCCCAAAGAAAAAGGAAGGAAAAAGAGAAAAAGGAAAAGACTAAGCCATTAACTATCTTTCGGGGATATCATTTGGTTTTGGAAGGGAGCCACCTGCTGAATGTCCAAAACTTGCCATGATAAAAGTTTGTTACCTGGACAGACTGTTGGCGACAGAATGCGATGATGTGGAGTTTATTGAAAAACAACTTAAGATATTAAGACGCCTAAGAAACGCAAAGTGTTACGTATCCATAGAAGCGGTTTGGGAGAAAGATGTAGTCCTGTATTCAGAAACCACATATAAAGATACTTGTTATTCTTTTTTTAACACATATGAATCTTTTGAGTTGTTACTTTATTTTCTTTTACATATACTTGTGCGGTATCACCTTTGCCCCGAATTCGGCTTGCACTACGGCCCGACACCTGATTGATTTCGTCTACCTAAGATGAAATAACAACGTGGGTAGGTTAGACTATAAATCAAAGGAGTTGCTTCGGCAACCAGACTTTGGAGGCAGGCTGGGAACTACAAAGCTGACGCCGAATCTAACCAGATTTCCATCCGAATCAGCCAAGGGTTATATCGTCACAGGATAGCACGGGAGCAGGCTCAAGGTGACCTCACAGTTTGTTTTACGGCATATCAACCCCAACGGGTTATTTAATGCCGACAAGATTTTTATTGCTGGTATTTTTTTTTTCTAAAAATATATTGTTGATAATATTGTTTGGTTTGGTTTTCTTTGTTTTACGAAATATCAACTTCAATTTTTTATTTAATGCCGACAAGATTTTTATTGCTGGTAATATTTTTTCCTTCAAAAATCTATTTCTGGGAATATTTGTTCTTCAAAAAATGTATAGCTGTTTGTATTGCTGGTAATATGTTTTTAAGTATTGCTGTTAAAAATATGTTTTTCTTCTATTTTATACTCTTGTGTAACTTCTAAATTATTTTATTCGTGAATTAATTATAATTAATACAATTAAAATACAATTAAAATTTATTTTTATCGCGTTCCAACTTTCCGTCATCATTCGTTATTATTATTAATGTGTCTTGACTGTTTCTGTATATCGCCAATGATTACCTTTTGAAAAAGCGTTGGCCGAAAGGATACTTATAGCACAATAATGACATCTATTTTTTTCAAACGTTTCTTTCTTTCTTTCTCTCTCTCTCTCTCTCTCTCTCTCTCTCTCTATATATATATATATATATATATATATATATATATATATATATATATATATATATAAAATGTATATAAATATAAATAAATATATATGTGTATAATTATTTATATTATATGCTTGTTTCTAAATATTCAAAGCGCTCAATATCAGAAAGAACCTAACATTTTTAGAGATAGATCGACATAGTTTATGACCTTGGTTTCGCGACTTAGATGTAGATACACGCAATGTACATATAAACCCAAATTTTTAAAACATTAATCAGTTTGTATCGTTAACAAACCCAGGTTACAAACTCACATCTATCCAACCAATATATATATATATATATATATATATATATATATATATATATATATATATATATACATGAATTATTCACACAAAAACTAATGCAAAGGTTAATAAGAGAAAAAACAAGAACAACATCTATTTTATACCTGAAGATGTCTGTAGAACAGACGAAAGCTTGTAGTAAAAATAAGAACTAATACGGCAGAAGTTTATATAAACAAGGATCATTTCATTCATAACTATACAAAGTTTTGTATACTATTTGAATTGTTTGGCATGATGGATGTCTCGCCATTTAAAATCATTAACCTTTGCATTAGTTTTTGTGTGAATAATTCATGTATTTGTAAATTGATTGCACGTTTATCGTAATTTAAATAACTAATCCAAGTGCGACTTTTGATAATAAGTACTAGACATTACTGTAATTATTGAACAATATAGTTCATGCCACTTTGACAGAAAAAAATTTACCAGTAAAAAATTTGTTCTTCACCATATTTTATAAGAACGCACAACCTTTAAAACCTTTAAAAATTTTAAATCAAACTCAGCGTTGCTTTGATAAGCGCTAAAAAACAATAACTCATTTTCAATAGCATTTCAGATACAACAATACATATTTTTCGTTGTCCTTTTATTACTAAGAGAAAAACAAGAACAACATCTATTCTATATTTCCAAGATGTCTGTGGAACAGACGAAAGCTTGTAGTAAAAAATAAGAACTAATACGGCAGAAGTTTATATAAACAAGGATCATTTCCATTCATAACGGATACGGAAGTTTTGTATACTATTTGAATTGTTTGCGATGATGGATGTTTACGCCATTTAAATCATTAACCTTTGCATTAGTTTTTTGTGTGAATAATTCATGTATTTGTAAATTGATTGCATCGTTTATCGTAATATATATATGTATATATATATATATATAACACGAAATCAAATATAATTTATTCACTTTTGGGCACAGTTCCTCAAACCATGACGAATGACCCTATAAACGCATTTCCGCAAAACTTTGGGTTTTTTTATTCATTGAGTTTAAAGAAAGTTAATGATAGATGCCTCAATTGTAGGTGGCCATAGCTACAAGTGACAGGAAAATGTAATGGAGCATGACCGCCTACATTATGAACGGACAAGACACATAAAAGAAAGAAGAATTGTGCTTATTGGAAATATTAAATTTAATCTATTAGCTTGAAATTAAAACTAAAAAAAAAACTTCAAGAAATATATTTCATTTATAAAAATTCATTTGAAACCTTTCTTATTGCATTTCTCTGAAGTTACCTTTTTAAAATCTACCATCTGTCCGTGCATTGAATGCTGTTACCATAACTTGTCTGGTGCTCCCGATGTACATCTTGAGATTCTTGACAAAATCCAAAGAAAGATCTGCAATTTAATCAATCCTGACCTGGCATCTCGATTTCAGTCATTTTCTCACTGACATGACGTGGCTTCCCTTTGTCTTTTCTATGAATATTTTCATGGCAACTGCTCTAACAAACTTTTTTTCCTGGTGTCTCGGCTACATGAATTTAAGCATGCTACTAGATTGGCAGTTAGGTCTCAGCGTTTTACTGTTGAACTAGATATAATATAACTGCCATTTCTACTCTAACAGTTTCTTTTCTCGCACTTCTCGCCTGTGGAAATCCTTTCCGGTTTCTTGCTTCCCTGATAACTAGATTATAATGGCGAAACCTATCTTTCCCAGAAATGATGGCGAAACCTATCTTTTCTCAAAAATGATGACGAAACCTCTCTTTCCTAAAAACATTCATGTCG